TGATTTACTGGCTTTCATTAGAACCAGAGACAGATTAAGAGAGAAAGAGAACTGAACAGATTCAGATGACTAGGTGGTAGATACAGTCTAACAGTTTTTTGCAAGTTGAGAATACAGTCTAGAGATAAGCCAGGTCCTTCAGTCTAAGAAGAAGCAGAAGTACAGGCTTTTGGTGTAGGCCAACAACTGAAGTGTCCCTATTAATCTTACATAGACTGTACTGCTGTATCTGCTATTTTTACCCAGCTGAGCTAAGTAAAAAGGGGAAGGGAACCCAACACAAATATGTTCATCTGTCCTGCAAAATTCAGTCATTTCAGTTAATGCACCACAGACACACTGTTCTCCCTTACTCCTGTTGCATTTGAATAAGTTTCTTCACTGGCAACTTGTTGAAAGATACTTCTAATGATATTATTATTTTTCCAGGACTGATCTAAAGCACATGAAATATACCAGTACGGCAAAGGCAATAGACAGGCCCGTACATGCTTTGTATTTCATTCACGGTACAGGCATGTCTGGCCACACAGCTCCACTTGAAATCTTTTTTTATACTGTTTGCAAGTATCATGCAAGTTATCGTCCTCTGATGAAGACATTCATCCCTTTCTATTTTTCAACTCCAAAGGCAATCCCTTTGAGATATCCTTTAATTTAGAGCAACATACTACCTCCATTTCAAAACTAGTTTTTAACCAGTATTATTTAACAGAATACTATGGGATACATAGTATATCAGTAGGATAACTAACACATAAGGTCTCCAAGTTCTAGGCAGATGGCCCTTAAAGATGAGTACCAGTTATGGCGTTCTGTAGAAGCCACACACATAACCAGTTATGCACTGCCAGTTCTAGCTACAGAGAATAAAAACTTAGCACAACCCCTTATGTTCTTGTAGAAACTGTTAATGGACTATAGCATCAATACTTTCAGGGTTAGGTTGGGGAAATCACAGTAATGTGCAGTTTGTAGTCACTCTACATGAGTAGTCACTCTAAGTGTAGAAGACATAGCTGCACATGTCAGAGGTTCAGTCAACATGCTCATCAAGTTCAAGATTAATGTCTAGTTCAACACTTTGTCAAAATTAGTTCTTTATAGGCTTCATTTATATTATTGTATTCTTTCCTCTCCAGCAAGTCCTTTAGCTCGTTTATATTCTTTTGTGCAGATTTAAGGCTGTATCTATCAATGACTTTTTCTCAGAAAAAAGATGCATACTAAAATAATCATGGAAAAGATAACTACATCAAATCACTGCTTACCAAGATAGCTAAGGCATGATAATTGCTACTGAAGTCTGAATACAAGCCCTGTGAATGGCAGAGCCATTACTGAGTTTTGCTTGGTCTTTTACAAGCTGCCACAGGGCATACTCCCATTGAAGTCATTGTAATAATAGTCAAAAAGGACATCTCAAAGCCACACCCTAGTTGGCTTTAATCAAGTTTAATCATTCTTCCCCTTCTCACTTGAAATGTAAGCATTAAAGAAAAAAAATCCTTGTAAATTCCTCTTACAGTTTTCTGTGTGTAAAAAACTAAACAAAACCCAACACACCACTTCTGATGGAATATGTACAAGAACTAATAGGTCTTAATCCTCTGAGAAGAAAAGCCTGCAGCAGTTCTCAGACAACTCTAGTTTCTACCCATTTGACTGCAGGTGTCTTTGCAGCAAGAATTAGGAAGATTATGAGCTGATTACTAATCTTTCAAAGAGCATTCAGGGAACATTCCAGTGAATGTGTTGAAAAGATTTTGCTGAGATCTGACAAAGGAGACAAGACCTTGAGAGTGTGTTCTCTGTCTGGAAAAGCTGTATAGATTTCCCACACGGGAAAAACCTGCCTACATTTCCCCTCATCTTCAGAGCCATCACCTGCTTGCTGCTGTGTTAAGACTACTTGGATACTTGATAACTTTTCTAGTGTATCTTTCTGCAGTACAGCTATTCACTGTGAATTTGCCTTATTATAAGAATTCATGGGACAATTTGGAAAAATATTTTTTTTGAGATTCTGTAATCAAAGACAGATCTTACAAGAATGAGGGGCTATTCTGCCCCTCATCATCAGATAATACAGAAGAATAAAATCAACCTCAGTATAAACATTTGGTACTGATACAGTTTTCTTGAGGATTAGAAAATTGTCGTTGAGAATAGGCTGTCTGTAAAATAAGCCTAGGCAATTGCATTAGCAGTCCTGCAGCTCCTTTCCAGTAGGGTTACCCTGTCTCAGACTCACACAAACAGAAGAACTGTAGATAACACTCATTAAACAATTAGCAGATTCCCCAGTGGAGGTAGGGCAAGTGAGCAGGACAGAAACCAAGTCCCGCCTAGTTCCAGAAGTACTGTTCCATAAACCACGTATTAGAACAATGAGTACTCTGAGCTGTACAAATTGTATGTGACTCTAACTACAAAAATACCCTGTAAAATATTTGCTGAGAGAGTCAGAATCACCATAGTTGAGGAATACCTTTCAACATCAAGAGAATGAAATTTCTTACCGAGTTAGAAGCCAGCTAAGCAAACAAACAAAAAAGTATTTGCATGAACTTGTCAGAGATACTAGTTCATAAAAAACCTGTAACAAAAGCAAGATGTAACAGCCAAGAAAGAAAAATTGCTGAGACTGTATTTCCTTTTGCATTATATCTGCCATGCTATAACCTCTAGGCAGTTAGGGTTTTTTAGCCAGCATTTATTTTGCCAATTGATATGAAGCAACACCTCTTTCTGACAGGGACCAGTATCAAAATACTGCTTCTTCACAGAAGCTGAGCTAGTCTGTGGCTCAAAAACAGTATTTCAGATATTACTATAGCAATAGCAGTAATTTCTTTAGAGTTAAAACACATATGAGTGCATTGATGCATACCTGTAGTTGCATGAGGAAGCTAAGATAGACTTTAAGATTATTTCAGTTCCTGCACACACACAAACACACGTGCGCGTGCACAGTCCTTTGCCACTATCCATTCCCTCAATAAGTTTCAGGTTCTACCTTAGACTCTAGAAGAAATATTTACTCTCAGTCCAAGCACCCATTTTCCCACATCCAACTAGAATGAGGGTGTAGCAAACCACAGTGCAGCCCACCTAGTCAAGTAAATACAACAATTGAAGTCACTAAAACAAGGAAAGTCAGTGTCCACAAAATACGTGCTCTGTCTTGGGTCCCAACAGAAGGGCGAAAAGGGCTGAATCAAGGAACTGAAACAAGCACACCAACATACATTTCTTATGAAAGACCTAAAAGAAAGCAGGCTGTCAAGGATACTTCTTGGCATGCATGAAGGCAGTACTACAGCCCAGAGTATTCATGTTCTTCAGAGACTACAGATATGGATATCAAGTAAAGCTTAAAGTACCGGGTTGTTATAGTTAAGAGTGAAAGTGTTGTACCCTCAATAAGCTGCTTCATCTAAATCCTGTTTGTTAGACCTCTCAAGAACTTTATTTGGAAGTGAAGAACATAGGTGTTACTTCTTTGACAAATATATCCAATGCAGTAATTGTATTTGAATACTTAGACTCTCACATTCTGCTAGGTGCTCTTTTAGAGAGCCACAGTAGTTTCAAACTCCGAGATCATGTTTCCATATTTAGAAGGGGTGGCCATCTTGAAGCAGAGCCACTTCTTTCAGTCAGACATATTTCCCTTCAATCACCATTGTAGCATGAAGCAAATATTGCAGTGGTAAAAAGACATACAAAAGCCCAAGATTAGGAGAAGGTGATGAGGCAGCTACCAGACCTTTCAGCATAAACAGGATCTTGAACAAGATACATAAGAAAGCCTCCTCTACTCAGGGAACCCCTGCCTCTTTCACAAAGCCAGGGAAAGGACAACAATGAAACTTTAGACATGGTACAGAGGTTTACCTCAGTTACCATGTGACTTGTTTCCGTATACCTAAGCCAGGTTGTATAAGTGATCCTCAGTGAAAACATAATGCAATTAACTCACTCAATTTTCAGGCACTCTAGTTCTTTTACCAATGTGTCTACAGAGGCATTATTTGCATAATAGTTTCTAGCAACTCTTCTACAGGTGCCATCTCTAACTTATGGGCTATATTTAGATAATTTTGTGTATCCCCTTATAATTTCCTTAAGGGAAAATCCTGAAAGATGCCACTCAGAATGACTCATTAAATCTTTTAGGCCTAGAAACCGGCATACACCCTAACACTTACATAGCACGTTTCCTGCTCCAGGTGGAAACAAGCTATTCTTAGGCTCACACCATTTAAACTGGATTTATCCACAGCCAATGCATAACTTTTCACAAGAGTGTAATATAAGGTAAATCACAGAATACCTGATCCACCCACTGCTAAACACACAACTAGGCTCAAGGTTAGAGCCGGCTGCTTATATTGCACTAGATACATGCCTTAAGGACATCTAACACACTATGTAAGTACAGACCTCTAAGCAAAACATCAGAATATCAGGTCAGATTCAGTAGGATGATACATGAGGAAATTGGTAAGCCATGCAGAGTAAAGAACACCAAAAAACAAGCAAACAAAAAGCCTCACCAACAAAACACCGCAGCATTTATTATCTTTTAGGAGGCTTAAAAGTCACCCTGTTTTCTGTGACTATTTGAAACCAAGCCAAAACATACCTGGTATTTCACTACATTTGACAGCACAAGTAGGTTTCGCATCACCTACACTCCTTCTCCTCCTACCTTTACTGGTTAACATTCTCTCTTCTCAACATTCATATCCCATTCTACTCCACTCCCACTCTCTGACATTCCATTCCATACCAGCCCATTCCCCTTTCTCCCCTCAAAGAAGAAGTTCCCTTTGCTTTTGTGTATTTGTTTTCTTTTCTGTTTATCTCACCCTCTGCTCATTTATCCAACCAGGAGTTTTCTAACAGTGCTGAAGAGGTCTCCCTATAACTCCTTGCATCAGGCCAGATGATTAATTCTTTCCTGTCCTACAGCAGATGGAACAATTACTTACCTTGGGATGATGATGTCTCATCTCTTTCCAGTTTTCTTCCCTTCTCACCTTTACAGTAAGCAGTTCCCTGCTATTTTAGCAAGAAATTCTCTGTACTTCTCCCAGTCTTATCTTTAAACTTCTTCCTGTTTATCATCACATTTCATCTCATTGGAAGTATTTTGATGTTCTTTTTCCCAGCCTTTAGTCAAGGAGCATGTTTCAGAGAGTTATAGAGTAATAAAGGTCAGAAATGACCCCTGCAACTGTTCTCATTCAACTCTCAATGTTTTTAAGATATAAAAAGCCACATTAAGTTATGGCATTGGTTTAGAAAGCAAAATACATTAATGTGCCATCGCTACCTCTCAAATTAACATGAAGCTTGGTGTTTGCATGCCATATTGTAAATGACTGAACACCTCTTCCTGCAGAAGCAATCCTGTTAAATAAACCCATAAGGATGTTACTGCACTGCTGCACCTGGGTTAATTTTTAATTGGCTCTTTTTTCCTTTGGAAATCTTTACTCCTATTAACAGTCTAAACTGGTTTTTGTAATTTGATACTTTTATTAGCTTCAAGAAATAAAGCAGTTTTCCTGTAAATCCTCTAACGTAGGGGGCATGTTCAAGGTACAGGGATGTACCAGGGCAAGAGTGCCCGAGGGAGCGTGCATCGACATAGACAACCCTATTGGTCAAAGAAGTCACATGGTTTTGAGGGATAAAACCAGTGCCGAATTTGAAATAAAATCTCTTTGTTCACCATCTCACAAGGAGCGTGCTTCCTTCTTTACCATGTAAAGTACTGCCACGCTACACTCTAATAACTAGAGCTAACGGCACCCTTGAAATTATATTATTTATGTAGCTGAATCCTTTCATTACAAACTGTACTATTTGTACCAGAAAAGCAAAGGTAAAATCTGTAACTTCACCTTACAGGAATGTTCTTTGCCTTAGTAACAAAAGTTTTCAAAGATAGGTTTGCCAGAAAATATGTTACATCTTTTGTCTATTCATTTTGTTATTTTTTCATTGCTCTGAAAACATGTTTGGGATTGAACTAGCTGAACAGATGGTTGCTGTGTGTCGAAGTCATCAGGGAATAAAAATGACTGAATGCAATCCCTTCCTTTCCTCCACCAAAAAAAAAAAAATATCCTTGAAACCAAACCCAAAATGTCACATATACAAATCAATGTTCTTGTTCCCACAAAAAAAAAAATGGATCCTCCCTCCTCTCTGAGTGAGGATCCTATAACGTAATAATAAGACAGTGTTTTATAATTGCTAAATTGTACCCAAATGTCTTCCCTTCACACTGTTGGAAAATACTTTTATCGATTTATTTATTTACGTACTTGTATTTTAACTCCTCTTAATTGATGTATTATCCATGTTAAAAATACTTTTTCTAAAAAACAAAGACCTACAAAACCCCATGTGATTCCTTCTTCTTGTCATGTAGGCTGTTGTGTTCAGAAGCTCCTACTGTACGGCAGGTCTATGTCCCTCTGTTCAGTGATGAGATTTTGCTGCAGACTGGCTAGGAACTGTCTCTATGCTTTGCAGCTAAATGCATAGATTTATCTGAGAAAAGCCTAAGGTTTCTCATCTGAAAACATAAACCTTGTTCAGTACATCATGGCATTTGGCCAGTATATTAGTAAGAGCTCTTGACGTTTGAATATAACTTCTGGCTTTAAAATTCCACATTAGTCAATGGAGAGAGTGACATATGTTAAGAATAACGTGAGATGTTGTATTCTCCTACTAATATTTATTAGAGTGAGCAGTATTTGTTAATGACTGAAGTGCAAGAACTCTAGGTTTCAAATATTCTGTTTCTTGATTTTACTTTCGATTTTACCTACATCCATTATTTAATTAGTTCATTCAAGCCACCTGTTATTTAAGAAGTCCTAAAACTGAAAGACTTAGATAACAGATTTCTTTAAAATGTTATTATTTGCTTTGTTAGTTAAAATTTAATAAACAGATTTAGAGTATGGACAGTTACAGATAAACCCAAGCTTGCCTTGTCTACATGTTGTGCTGATTGTATCTGATTGTGCTGGTTTAAAAGTTAACCAGCAGGGGGAATGAACTCAACTCAAAGGAGAGATTATAAGTCAGAATAACAATTTATTAAAATAATACAGTAAGTACAATAATACAAACAAACAATTGGTCTCAACCCACAAAAACCCAAATGTATAACCCAGTGCCCTGGGGCATGAACAAAGTGGTGTTCCTTGGGCCCTGTTTGAGTCCAAAGTAAAGGGAGAGGGGAAGAACCTGCTGGTGGGAGAGCTGCTGCAGTCTGGCCAGAACTGGTGATCGCAGTCCAGTGGTGGTCTAAGTCTGGTTGAGAGCGATGAGATGCAGCCGTCCTCTGGATCCCACGAGTGGGTTGAAAAATGTTCCAAAACTCCAAGATTATATATCCTCCAGTTCAGGCAGGAATGCTTGGTACTCCCCTCAGGGCGGGGAGTTCCACAAAGGGTGTGAGGACAGAAACATCCTCCTATCTCACAGGCCTCTTAACACCTAGTTTATAGCCTGAGGAGTCAGGCTCTATGGGCAGAGGGTGCGAATAGTCTATTGACAACAATAGTCTAGTTTCTGGGAAATGACATGGAAGGCTATAGAATACAGTTTTGGGTTACACCCACCATGATGAACTGATCTCAGCTGTCCTAACTAGGACACTGATCTAACTAAATCAAAAGCCCAGTAAGCATGTTAGTATGATACCATGCCTAAACTAACATGCTTCCATGCAGTAGTTTTCCAGTGTTCCTCCATTAGAGTTGAAAATATCCATTCTGTATTAAAGCATTCACATAGTACTTTGTGGCAGTTCACTTGTCCAATGATTTGGTAAACGATCTGAAGGAACTGAGAAACAAAGATAAATACTTCACAAAAGGATCCAAGGATAAGTGGATTTGTGGAGGACTATGCAGAAAAAGCATCTACTGAATTTACAGTCTTTTTGTAGCTAATTTTGGGTTTTTGAGAGAAATGAGCTAATACATCTTGTAGAAAGCACTCCTGCAGCTATGCTCTTCGTGAAAATATTTGTTTTAGCTGTATGCTGAGTATAGGCCACAGGCAGACCCTGATGGGGAAATCAGTGTATTATGGGTATACATTTGCTTTGATTTGGAAAACCATAAAACCATTAAAATTTCTCCTGGATAGATGGACTTCACATGGATGCTTCTGTTTGCGATGAAGATAAATTCTCTCAAGTAATTCTGATTTGATTAAAATCCTCAGCACTGTGCGGCACAAATCCGGGAGATGTCATAACATCAAACGAAGTGTAGATATTTCCTGAATGATCATTTCCATTACTAGCCACAAATAACCAAAAGAAAATCTCTGTTTATGCACAAGCAAAATAGCAAATGTTGAAGAGTATGTAGTCAGGGATAAATAGACTGTATACAAGCTATAAAGAAAATGTTTTCTGAGTGCTCCAAGTTTGATTTACAGAAAGATGTGAGGAGAAGCTTTCTTCTGAGAAATAGATGGGCTGGGGCACAGAGGTATTCTGCTCCCCCCAAAAGAAATATATTACTGTGTTCCTGTCCAAGTCATACCGAGATATGAGATCCTTTTGGGGACAAGGTGACTTGGTATTCCTGTCAGTTATGCAAAGAACAGGTTCTTTGTAAGAAAATTAAGGCTTATACTAATAAAGAAACAGCTCAGGCTTTTCATAGTATTTATAGTTTCCATACAAAACCGCAAAACTATTTTTATTGAACAAGGAAATTTTCTAAGAGGACATATCACATTTGGTTTTCTGTGTTGCAGTGGAATGTAACTTGTGAATAGACAAGATAATATTTTGCCTGTTTCTAGCTTCTCTATTGATTAACTAAAAATGCTTTCAAAAGTAGTTTTTAACTGAGAAAAATTTTTATTTCATTTAGAAGGTAAAGTTTAGAATACTTTCCAGCTTTGTATGAGCTGCTCCAGCCTCATTTCTCACTTTTAAAAATCCTGATGTTACTTTCGGATTTTTAAAATTCAGTATTGTCTTCAGTGTGCTCACTCAGAGAAACACTTCAGCATCATGTGACTAAGCGAGATTGGGCCTTTTCAACTCCAGTTACATGAAGCGTGAACTCATTCTCAGAATGTGGGTGCATGGACAAGATACCATGAGATATGAATGCACACTGTTAGTTGTTACACAGAACTACCCATACGGATACTCTCAGTTGTTGAAACTGCAAAGCAATTTTCTGGTGAAGGCCAGTAGGACAAGCAACTTCTCATTCTGCATGGCACAAGTTATTGTTTCCTAAAATGTTGTAAACTGTCAGAGATTTCTTGCGATGATTTGCTTATATTAATGTATCTGATGTGTCCTCCTCTCTATCCTGTCTGTCTATCACAGAATCACACAGAAGCACAGAATCACAGAATCAATTAGGTTGGAAAAGACCTCTCAGATCATTCAGTCTGATCTATGACTAAACACCACCATGCCAACTAGACCATGGCATGAAGTGCCACATCCAGCATTTCCTTAGACACTGCTACGGACAGTGACTCCACTGGCCAGCCCATTCCACTGTCTAATCACCCTTTCTGGGAAGAATTTCTTCCTAATGTCTAACCTAAACCTCCCCTGGTGCAGCTTAATACTCTGTCCTCTTGTCCTACTGCTGGTTGCCTGGAAGAAAAGACCGACCCCCACCTGGCTACAACCTCCTTTCAGGTAGTTGTAGAGAATGATAAGGTCACCACTGAGCCTCCTTTTCTCCAGCCTAAACAACCCCAGCTCCTTCAGCTGCTCCTCATAGGACTTGTTCTCCAGACTCTTCACCAGCTTTGTTGCCCTTCTCTGGACCTTCTCCAGCACCTCAAATATCCTTCCTGAACTGAGTGGCCCAGAAGTGGACACAGCCCTCTAGGTGCAGCCTAGAGCTTGACACAGCAGTGTCAAGTACAGTCAAAGAATCACTTCCCTGGTCCTGCTGGCCACACTATTTCTGACACAAGCCACAATGCCAGTGGCATTCTTGTCCACCTGGGCACACTGCTGGCCCATGCTCAGCCAGCTGTTGACCAGCACCCCAAGGTCCTCTGCTGATGGACAGCTTTCCAGCCACTCTGTCCCCACCCTGTAGCGCTGCATGGGGTTGTTGTGGCCAAAGTGCAGGACCCTGCACTTGGCCTTGGTGAACCTCATCCTGTTGGAATCAGCCCAACTCTCCAGTCTGTCCAGGTCCCTGTGCAGAGTCCTCCTGCCTTCCAGCTGATCAATGCTCCCCCCCCAGCTTGGTGTCACCTGCAAATTTG